GCATGTATATGTATGTACAGCTGACAATTGAGAAAGAAAATTAAAGATGGTGAAAACTAAAGATCAGCAGGCTTTGCAGCTAGAATTCAAACTGGAATAATGAATAAGGGTTTATATTGAGTGGGAGAGCAAACCAGGCAATCTGAAACAGTAATTGGTATAAAAATACTAAAGAGATATAAGCAAAAGTTCTATACAGGTATACAAATTTCCAGAGTGACATTTTTAGGAGGTATATTTTGAAAGTGAAAAAGTACGCTTTGATAGTCCTATTAGCTAGATAGAATCACTGAGAAATTATGGGGCTATTAAAAAGTCCAACAAGGAAAGAAACAGGACAGTCAAACATCATAATCACAACAGTCATTCAAATAGACTTTAATTCCCTTTATGCTGTTAATTGCATATCCACCTGTTATCCAGTTCTGAAATTAGGCCTTTGTGTTCCTTATAAACTGGTTATTTAAATACTGAGTAATATTAGTGAAGGAACTAGGGTTGCTTTGCATTTACTGGTTTCTTCTAACTGGATTCAGTTTTCTTCCATTAATGTGAAAATAAAGAGTACATCTAGAGATGAAAATTTTCCCTTTGTCAGTATTCTTCCTTTCTCAGACTGGAGACAAAAGACCAAAACCTGTTGTCATTCACCTGATTTTGGGGAGCTCTTATAAAGAAGGGATATGGTTCTTGGTGTGCTGCTCTGCTGCAGATGGCTGCAGAGCTCCATCTGAGCCCTGCCCTGATGGGGTAGCAGGCACAGCTGGTGCCCTGAGGGGTGGCATAGAATTAACGTGGCTTTTTCACATGGCTTAAACTTCATCACAAAGTCAAGTGTTTGTGTAGGCATTGCTGTTACACAGGATGTACCTATCTGATTCCAGAATCTTCATAAAGATTACCAGAAATCTATCATTAGTGTATTTCTGTGATTGGTTTAAATGCATCTTTCTGTTATAGGGTTGATGGGAAATCATGTATAATCTTTTAACAAAAGTTAGCAAATTGCATGTAAACATGAGAAAAAGAAGATTCCTACTTAGGGCAAACAAAAGCAGCCATGAACAAGGATATAATTTAGTGTGCTTCCAAGTCTGGATTTCTTAAATACATTTAAGAAACCCATCATCTGTCATTTTCTCTACAGTGGATTCTGTTCTCTACTAATTACCCAGGCACAGTGTTTGTGTATTCAAAGATGCTTACTGAATTTCTTTTCTCTTCAAAGTTTTAGTTTGAAAACAGATACAGCATGAGAGATTAATTGTTCCAGTATCTATATTGTTTAGGAAAACAGGGTCAAGTCCCACTTGTTTGTATCATTGGCTGTCCTTAGCTTAACACTGTTTCAAGATAGTGTTGAAATTTTTGGACTAAAAATATCCACTATAGCTGACAAGTAAATGGAATCAAACCTACAGGTTCGTTTATGTAACACTGAAAGGGAAAGAAAAGCCAACAGACCTAGAACAAGAAAGAAAACTTCCATCAGTTAGCATAGTAGACTTCTAGATTTCAGCTCTTGAGTTTTATGCTTACCCCCACCCCTAAATACATGCATGAGTGTCTGCAGAACATTACCAGTCAGGAGGCACACCAATATACAAGCCTTCTGGTCACCTAAAGGAAATTTTACAGCTCTTTACCTAGCCAGAGCTCTCTCTGCAGGAGTGCCAGAGCACAGCTCAGAACTACTTTTCAGCTGTAGTTTTTGGATCTGTGACTGGGCTGTGTAAACTCAAATGTCTTAAAATTGAAATTAAATTAAAACAGGAAATCCATTGGGGTAGGAAAGAAACATGGTGTATTTGTTGAGCAGAAGCCAAAATGTACAGTGTAGTGGTCCTTAAGACAAAACAGTAGTAACCATCTGTGTGTTGAAAGTTATTCTGCAAGCAAAATGTGTGTTCAGATCTAAGCTGTTGTGATTTCCTTGTTCTTCGATATTACCTAACCTTCTTTTATGTGCTTCTATTTCTCTTGCTGTTTCGGTGTCCCTCTAGCCCTGCTGTTCCTCAGTGGTTTGGTAGGCGGTGTAGGACTCAATGGTCAATCAAGATGAAGTGTGCATTCCTGTTGTCAAATACCTTTTGCTTCAAGGATTACTAAGCATCAAGCTCTACTGCTGCTTCTTGTGATACAAACCATGAAAGTATCAGTTTGTGGAGGCAAGGAACTTCCTCCTGGCCTGGCTGTTAAACATAATTTCATTGCCTATATAAACTATTCTTCCAAAATTTGATCTTTGATCAAATAAGAGCTATTACTTACCTAACACATACATGTTTTGTTCTTTGCAGTGGTTTTCCCTAGGATATCACCTTAAGAGGTGTGTGTTGCTTTCAGATGCTTTTGATGTCCTGGGCTGACATATGATCCTGTGAAATGAATTTTCTAGGAGGCATGGGCTGATGTAAAATGAACAGTTTCTTACTCCAAGTGCATGGAACACTCACTCACTTAAATCAGCTCTTATATTTAAAAATGTTAAGCCCATTCAGAGTTATTGCATGTGCTATTCATCCTACAAATAGGAAGGGAGTTAATTCTCTCAAACAAAATAAATAGGAAATATATTAGCCAGGAGCTAATCTCTGCTTATCCCTCATATAGTTGAATACTACAGTGTTGAGGGGAAACACTACATAAAACAGGAGAGGTTACTCAGAACTTTCAAGACAGCACTGAAGTATCTGAATTAACTCTTCCAGAGAACAATGTTTTCCTAGGAGCGGACCTTGGTGCATTAGATTTATCACACAAAAGCTAAGGCATTTACACCTGTGCCTACTGTTATTAAAATGACCACATGAGAGTATTGATAAGTTGCTTTCAATTGGCACTGATGTGTAGGAATTTAAGCATAAGGCAGAAATATGATTTCTTAGTTTTCTTACATCTAGTTTTCTTACATCTGGTTTCTTACAATGATTTTCTTGTTACAAGACTTTTTCTCCTCTCTGGCAAGCTAAGGAATTGAGAGACCATGATGGCTGACACTAAGCAGATTTATTATTTATATTCCAAGCCATTGAATCACTCTAAAACTGTAAGTTCAACAGCAAATCATAACTCATAGCAAAAACTGTGCTGCAAAGCCATGGAACACAAACCTCTTTTTTTTGTGTGGTTTTCTTAAATCGTCTTTCTGCAAAGCAGTATAACAGAAAGTGTGATATTCTGTCTGTGCTCTAAGGGAAATAAAAGAGAAAAAATCAAACTGCAAATGGCGGTAAGATGACAGTTCATTGGACAAGGCAAGCAGATGAAATAATTGCAAGGGCTGTTGCTATCTTATCATAGGGAGCACATATCTCACTGGGGCATATCAGCAGACATCCGTTGTATCAGAATTATGCCATAATGGTATAACAGGGCTATGCCTGATCTTGCTCTGAGCTATTGCTCCCCACTGGAAATGTATGTGGTGCTGTATAAACCTAGGGATGTGTACTTTCCTTATACATGTTGCTGGATGTTGCACTGATGTCTTTTTCCCATGGTGAGGAAAAGATTTCCCTCTTGCTCCCCTACTTTTATAGTTCCTTTCCTCTAAAGCACTGTTGAATGAATGAGGGATATGTAGCTGGCCAAGGTTGAATTTATACCTATGAAGAAATATGAAGAAATATCAGAGTTTGGGCAGTGAGTTTCCTATGACTGTTCAGGATCAAACTGTAAAAAGCCCCAGAGTCTGGATCAGAAAGGAAATCTTCAACTCCCCTCAGCTTCCCAGGGCCTTACTGGCAAGGAGATGGGGATCTTTTTTTACTGTTCTTGAAAGTCTGAGCTTTAACTCACTTTATTCAGTCCTGTGAGCACTGCATTAATAAACTGCCTGCTTTTATAAGGGAGTAAGGCATCACTGTGATCCTCCTGGGTTTCTTGTTCTTCCCCCCTGTCACAATGCAGAGTCTGAAATTATCTTGTCCTGAGCCTTGTTTGTTATACTTGGCAGAAGCGTATTTATGTAACAGTGTTCTCATGGGTGTTCCTGTACCAACTGATCCCCTCGTGGCACTGGCTATCTTCAGTGACAATGGCACCATTACTGTCCTCTGTATCTATACACTTCCAACTTGCACTCAATGTGTAATTAAATTACCTGTAACATAATTTTGCAGTCTGAGCACTATGTGTTTGGGACAGTATGAAAACCAAATCCCAGGCATAGTGGCTACCCAGGGCCAGTATCACTTTCCTCATCACTGTACATTTCTCTGAGAAAGCACCGTTGCAGGAACTTCCTGCTGTCACACTGCACGCCACAGGAGATGCAGACCTAGCAGATGCAGTGCTGCTGATTGGTGCAGTTCTTGAGTGGCTCATTGTAGGCCCATTGCTTCATTTCCCCATAGAGCACATAGCTTCACCCCACAGATGTAACCTGCTGCTCCATACCTGCATACAGCTGTTTCATTGCCTTTTTGCTGGATGCCTTGCTTTTTTTTTCACAGTCATGCAATGAGTTTTGTTTCATTTTAGAAATGGGCAACAAGCATATGAAGAAGTATTTTTCACTTCTAACATTACCAGAGATGGGAACACAGTCTCTCTGAGAAATCTCCTTTGGATGTATTCCATTAAATGTAGTGAGAGAGGGTGTTTTCAGAAGTATGTAGTTTGTGTGATTAATACTTTGGTCAAAAAGACGGGTCTCATGTTTTTATATAGGCTTTTCTAGAGGAAAGCAACTTGTTAATTCTAGACACATTCTCAGTGAGGCTGCCCAGTTGCTGGGCTGTGGTCTGTGTGTACGATCTATTTTCTCAGTTGCATATGAGTCAAAACCTTGTCCACAAATCTTTTGATTTGTCAAGTTACAAAAGTCCCATTTTTGCAGCCTTTATCTTAAAGCCACCCAGAAGAATAGGAATTGTAGGAGCAGGCCCATTGTATGAAAACAAAATTCTGGTATGTATTCTGTAAAATCTTTAGTAATAATATCCTGAAGTATGCATGTTGAAAGGATTTTTTTTTTAGCATTCTAAGAAGAATTAATAGCAAGAAACTAATAAAGCAAAATCATTTCAGCTTGATAACCAGTTCTAAAAATCTGCAAGACATACAGTTTCTGTGTCATGAAGTAATATCCCAAAGGAAGTTAATGGATACAAATATATCTCAGCAAAATAGTAAGGAAGCTACAACTGGTGGTAACTGAAAATCTTCGTTATCTCTAGATCTAATCTTTATTATGTCAAGATCCTGTGGAATTGAGAACAAATTGAGGGTAAATCCAACTGGATTTTAAACTAGTGGATTTTCTATGCTACAGGGCAAATGTGTTAATCTAAGAAAACTGAGAAAAATAGGCTTTTTGTACTTTGGAAAATGCAATTACAGACTGTTGCAAGGTTTAAGGAAATGACATGGTTATCTCTGCTTGTGACAAAATCTTTCCTCTAGTACAATTCCAGTGATCTGCTTGCTTTTGCCATGTCTGAGTAAGACAGGGTTTGTTTGTTGTTTTTTTTTTTTTTAATTTTTAATAATGAAGAAGCAGAATATGTAAAATATTCCATGGTGTAAAAACAAACCAAGACTGATTGACTGTTTGATCTTTCTAAATTAAATGTGGTGAGTAAATCTATTTGCTTTTCCCGTCGTTGATTCTTTGGGCCTACAAATGTGAAAGGGAAGACACAGATGAGGCGGCTGGACAGTTATAATCTGATCCTGACAGATATCCTCTCCGAACTCCACTGAGGAGAGACTGAAGGGTGTTATCATTCCCCTAAATTAAGCTAAATCCACGATACCAAATGGAATATACATCAGTTGGGTTTCACCATCACCTCCTATCTCATGTGTCCATTTTCTTTCCTACCCTCCTCTTGGAGGTCTTCTTCTGACCTTTGTGTGTGTATGTTTTCCTAGGAGGTGTGACTTAGCTGATAAAGGCTGTGGCATGTCTTGTTTCACTGCTATGAACCCATGACTAAAAGGGCAGCTAAAAGCAGCACTGTAATCACCAGATACTGCTAGGAGTTTGCCAGGTTTTGGAGTGGTTGATAAAACCATGTGCTGCTGGGTCTGTCTTTTTCAAGGTGCAAGTGAAAATAAGAGAGGCACCGGAATAGAAGCCCTTTTCTTTCTAATTTTTGTTCTTTTCTCCCCTTTGTTCTCTGGGCTTAGTTTGCCTTAAAGAAGTAATACTGATTTCAACTAACTATAGCTTTCTGCTGCAAAGGGATACTTATTGCCCTCCTTAACACAAAGTAGAAGGGGCTTTCCATTATACCATACTAAGGATGGTAGGTAAAGGCAATGGGAAATTGAAATGTTTTACTGTTCTGCTTAGTGTGTTTTCTTCTCCTTTTTTAAATCTTTTTGTTATTAGTTATTTAAGAAAAGAGTCAAAATGTTTTCATTTGCACTGTGAAACCACATGGACATTTTGAAACTCTTAATCCTGATGTTATACACTGTCATACTCAAACATTTCTGGCTCACTTTCTCTACCAAAATTAACACACTTCCCTGGTCATTTGACAGCAAAATTCTCTTGAGCATTTGGAGAATGACCCAACCACTTGGACCTCTGCCTGGTTGGTGTCCTATCCTGGACTCTTCATAAGGGCTGCTCTTCATAGTAAGTTTTAATTTTGTACACCTGACTAGCAAGAACAGTTTTACTGAATACCAGTAACTGTTACATCGTCACAGACAGAAGTCAAATGTACTTATGATAACTCTCCCAGCTCTAGTCAGAGACCACAATGTTCTCCATCTGCAGGAAGCTCCTCTAATACACATTTTTTAAATGGAGCATACATCAAGCATGATTGGAAACTTTGTTCTCCACTATCTGGAGTATGGGCATAACCATGCTAGATAAAACTGAGGAATTCTGCTTTTAGTTTGCCAAAAATTAAAGCTGTGCATTGTGCCGTATGTGATAAAACAAATAAGCTCACCTCTGTGGGTAAAGCTAGTTTTCTGTGAAACTTCAGGTGGACTAAATAGTACTTTTCAGCTGCAATTCAACTTGAAATGGGCAGAGCTCAGAGGGGGTGGTTATGCAAGTACTGCAAGGGAAAATAAATGCATGGAAATATCACTACAAATAGCTACCTCCTTGAAATTCAGTATATATTTAATTCGTAGGCTGATTGGTTGCTTCACCAGTAGTGAAGGATAATGAGCTTCAAGGACTGTGGGAACCTGCAGTTGAAGCAGAACTGAGGTATCCTGCAAAAACATTAAAAGGACAATGGGGGATCACACTTGAGGGGGAGAGGAAGTGCAGAACTACCATGTGACTACTTGAATAAGAAAGCTTTATGTTGAGACTCATTAAATGCCATCCTTTTTGCTTGTTCTCCTTGACTAGGACTAATATGCCATTTGAATGTTTTATATTGCCTGTGAACAATTTTATATTATGAATGATGCTAGCAGAATCAAAGTGCAGCGGCTACTGCATGTAAAAGTCACAGTTCCCCTGTAGCCAAATGACATTGAAATACAGCTGAAGATCCCAACAATCAACCATTGCATATACAAGCTGGGGCTCGGGGGGAGGGTAAGCAACAGAAGTATCACTGCAGAGAATAGTTATCCCAGAGCTAGAATTACCTGATGTGGGCAAAAATTGTTAAATAGTTCACTCCCTTAAGGTCTTGCTTGGCTTTAACTAAAAATAAACTTATCGTCATCTGCCAGTAGAAAAGATCTGCTATGTGGCCTAAATGGGAGCTTGTCTTCTTGACCAGTAATAAGAGCATATTTCTGCAACAGGGGAAAACCAGTCTCAGTTCTGCCATTCTTAAAATCTAATTCAGAGCAGTGATTGCAGTTGGTGCTGCCATATTTGCAATGACAGTTCCATCCTCAATTAATATATGCATGTATGTGTATGATCTATCTATGTATAGATATGTAGTCTCATTATACTCACCCAGTGTGGTAAAACAGGTGAAGCATGTTAACATTACGCTTTAGGATCACTACGCAAGGACTGAAATGGATTAGCAAATTATGTGTTCTTGGTAGCAGGATAAGCAATGAATCACAAACAAATTGTTGCTTTCTGCTAAATCAGCACAAACCTGAATGTCCCCATTGTTAATTATTTATGAGCTTGTTTTAATAGTTTCCTGTAGCAGTCAGATTAAAATCTACTAATATTATTCCAAAAAATAAAAACCTTGTTCTCTGCTGCTTTGTAGTGATATACATCTGAGTAATGTCAGTGTAAAATGTTATCATTCTGTTGTGGTAGAGCTCTACACCCACTTTTTGCTAGTGTCAATAACTACACATGCTAAGAAACTATGCATGCATGGAACCAAGCCTTTAAAATAAAGTTCAATAAGCAAATTGAGCAGAGTTGTCAGAGAAATGTGAGCTGTAGTGCTGTTGTTAATGCCAGAAATCCTGATGTATTGTTAAAAAAGCAAATGTTAATTGGACAATTAAAATCCCAATTTACGATATGCAGAAAAGCCTGGGGGGTCTGCTTTAATGTAGAGCTGTGTGTTTCAAGGGAAAACATGCCTACCTTGCAGTGCAAAGTGAAAATTTACATATATACAGTTTGTAAATATACAGATATTTACCAACCTCTGATTTCTAAGTAACTGGGTGATACTGCAATGCAGTTTCCCTTCCTTGCTTAGGAATGACTTGGCCTGTTAGAAATGTTGAAGCTGGATGGTGCCTCAGTCTTCCTGTGGTTTGAGAACAATTGCTCTGCTCGGATGGAAACATCCTGCCCTGAGTTGGCCTCTTCACACTGTGATTACTAGGACTTTAGCCCTACTGAATTAGCGTAATAAAACCTCCAAAGATATCAAAATGACCTTGGTAACCTCAAAGAGAAGATGGTCTTTTCAACAGGTTTATGATACATTTTGTATGTGATTATTTTCCTGTATCATAAGGCATACAATGCAGTGCCATATAAAGAGAGTTAACAGGATGCATGTTTTCTATTCATTAGAAAAAGAGCTGTGCACTAAAAGGAGTGAAAAGAAAGTGCAATATTGTGATTGTTTTAAAATATCAAATAAAAGCAAAAATAAAGATGGGAAGTACCTGATATATTAGCTGATATTCATTTGCTGTTTCAGTGATCACAGAATTAGTCTCTGCTGCCAGATAAGCCTGGCAAGAAAGAACACCTTAGTTAAGAATGTTGGATGATGCAAAGAGAAAACAGTTAATAATCTTGTCTGCGCTGTTCAGTCTGTGAAATGCCCCTGTATGTGAGAAGACTGGATCAGAATTTAAGAACTGTTTTTAAGATCTCATATTCTGGGAATAGACACATCTAAGTTCTCAGTGACGGTACAAAACAATCCAATTAAGAGGTGGAAAATATTTTTTTAAACAATGAATGATTAGTGTATTGTTGGACCTAACAATAGTCATTGGGTTTTAAGCAAGATCAGAATAGGATTTTGTACGTAATAGGAGTACCCATTGTTATTAGAAATCAAGTATAACAGAGATTTTGAAAGAGATATTCAACCAAGATCAAATATTTAGGACTGGAAAGGAGGGAAGAACTAGATGATAAGTGGTTCCTGTTTGCATCAGTTCTTTGCTTGCCACAGAAGGTAACCAGATACTAGACTTCACAGATTTTAGGTCCAGTTTTTAGCACAGCACTGTATGTGTATTTAAAGTAATAACAGAAACCCCTGGTTTCTTCTTCTTCAGATTTCAGATTATTATGGTCTATAGATTTTGATTCAGATGTATTTCAGTATTCCTCCTGATTTTGTTCAGTAAGCAGTCACAAAAAGATGCATTTTCTGGTTTCTATAGGTGTTTTGCTAGAGCTATGGGATTAGATACTAAGTGCGTGCCAAAACAAAATACCTATGTAATATAGTTTCCTCAGAGAGCTTCAGAAAACAGTTTTCTTAATTAATTTATGGAAGTAGCTGAACCATAGTAAATATAAATCTTGTGCTCAAGGAAGAATGTCTTAAGTACTGCTAATGTCTTGCTTTATTCTTAGTGTGCTGTAACACTCCAATTAAGGAATTCTGCTGCTCCTTATTAATAAGTATTGTTTTTTCAGTAACAATTGTGTTAATGAAGATTTTCTTAAGAAAGATCGTATTTTGTAAAATGAACAACTGAATGTTGGTTATGTACTGTGTATCACTGTTCAGATACTGTATCTACAACAGTTAAGTGCCTGTTGTGACTGGAATTTAATCTCAGTGGTTTTGGTTCTGTTACTGCCATGGAGCTTTCACTTCTTAATGGCTACAAAGACTAATCTTGAGTTAAGAGCCAAACAGTTTTGACTCTGCATTACTGCAGTGTTGTTTAGATTAGTGGCTTTTAATGTCAAGAAGAAATTATAGCTCATGTCTGCCTTTCCAAGCAGAGCAGCTCATCTAGAGGACATCTGAATGACTTAGAGGAAGTCAGGAATTAACTCCTCATAATTACAAAGAAAAACAAATCTTTTACCGTGTGTCATTATCCTATATTTAAGAAATGAATTATTAAACTGTAAAATCTGGGGGGGCCTCTATTTTTGCTGGCCTATGTAATAATGGTAGGAAAAAGTAGCCTCATTACAGATTTCTCCTATGAGTATGTAGGGAACATCTATTTTTTTCCTCTGGTTATCTGCACTGGCATGTGCACAAGGTTATTTGTGCTTATGTACAGCATTTAATGCTTGTCCTTCTGAATCTGTCACCCAGTGAGAGAGCAGAAAAATACTCTGCCACTTACATGAGACAACAGACATCACAAAAAAAAAAAAAGTAATAAGTATTTTAAGCTAAAAAAGTTCATAGCTCTCAAAATTATGGCTTATTTGCTTAACAATTATGAATAACAAATATATTAGTAAACCACCATGCACACAGTTTTTTTACCCCCAAAAAGCTAAATTAAACAATTCACAGTGAACAGTTTGCCTAGTAATGTTTATAACCGTGTATTTGTGTTGTCATAGTCACTTAAATGAGATATTTGCATTATGACTATCTATGGGTCCAAGTTGTGGTGCTTTGTGTCTTGTGTGAATATTCAAGTCTTTGGACTTCATGTTATGGTACACTTGAAAGACTCTACTAGAAAGGGCAGATGAAAGGTAAAAATTAGGATATTAATGTAATGATATTGTGGTTCACAGGTTTAGTATTTACAATTTAAACACCTTAAAAGTGTCCTCCTTCCCCTCCCCCACTTCCTCCTTTTTCTTTGCTTTTATTCTGGCAGCTTTTTCAGGCAGGTACATGACGACCTCACAGATTTATGAGAAAAATACTTTATAAGTGATGTTATAAGAAGTTTTCAATTGGAGAATTATCAATCCAAATGAGTTTTGTGATGATTACCAGTTTCTTTTCTCACTGTTTTATAATTATTTTAAACAATGTAAATATTTTCCTGTGGAAGCAATATTGTTTTTGTTTTCTCTGAAGACACTAGAATTATTGGTTACTTCTCCAGAAACTGCCAACAACTTTCACCTTTGGTATCTAGTATCTGATTAATATCTGTAAACGTAGAGTTCAATTTCTCCTAGAAGAAATTTCATGCTGTTCCCAGTGTTTGTGCTGCCTGCCCTCATCCTTCTTTCGCTTGCATACAATTGGCTGTCTCAGCAGCCATGAAGGAACCTGTTCTTTATCTCCTCAGAACAAAATGAAAGTCTGCTGTACCACTGAAGTTTCATTTTTTTGTAAATGAAAGCTTGACAAACTTGCCTTCTCAAACAATTATTTGCATTCCCTGAGTTACAGCATAGCACTATGACCACTAAAATTTCTGCTAGAGAACTGCTTGTTTCTTCAGAAACATGATTAGAGTTGTTAAGTATCATGCCACTGGACTTCATAGCAAAAACTGACGTTGTAGGGATGGGGATGAAATTTTCCTGGTTTTGTAATGTTATGTAGGTCTTTACTGGAAAACTATACAGCAGGTTGCTGGATATTAATAAGAAGGAGGGATTTCCTCTTTGTTCCAGTGAGTTGTTTAAGTCCTCAGATATTAACTCATACAGAATAAATCAGCAACAACAAATATCTAGATGCTTACTTGAAAAGATTTCAAAACACCTTGAAAAAACCCTTATCTCCAACTACTTGCTACTCTGTTAACATAATTTATTAATAACATTAGAAATACCTTCTTATTGCTTCCTTATAATTGGCTAAGCACAGATGGAATTACACTTGCAAGGACAAGCTGATGAAAGCACTAACACATCTCCATTTGTCAACAAAAGGGAGAGAGCTGGATATATCCCTATATATATATCATAACTATATAGTACTAGTATACAGTTACATTATGACATAACCTTTACAACACCTAGGAAACCAGGGAATTCTGTTTTAAGGATGGAATTCATGTGCTTTTTTTTTTTAATGTATACCAACAATATTTAGAAACATAATATATTAACGCCCCTAAACAGATCAAAGGGAAAAAAAAAAAAGTAAATGCCTTCAAAATGTGTTTTCTTCTGGGTTTTTGCCACCCAATAGCTTTCAGTGAAGTTATCAGAAACTACATTAGAAAAAGATTAATAGAGCAATAGAGACTCCAAGGAGACAGGAACATGAAAAACTAAGCATGCTATTAATCCCCCAAATCTAAACCACAAGATCCATAGCTCCTTGTTAATGTTAATAATCCCACACACAATAATGAAAACAGAAATTAAAAGCTTTGAGCTTTGCCAGGAAGGATACTTCACGTAGTGGCAGCTTCTTGTCTAGGGTGAGAAAGGGTGAGAAGTGTACATTTCCAGACTTTGCCACATTCATGTTCCAGACTACACTTAGGCACGAGCTCAGTAGCTGCAGCTGACAACAGAAGGCGAAGTGACACAAGGGGTCTTAGAAAGTGACTGTATATGTCCAAATGCAAACTGTAATTTTTTTGGAAGACTTTTCCTGTAATTAAGCAAGACATAATGGGCTTGCTTTTGCTTTGCTTCAAACCGAAGTTCTTATAAAAGAAGAAAATCTTCACTGTCTGAATTTTATTCTAGCACTGTGTTTCTATGTAAATTCTTGTTTACATGCTACATAGAGAGAGTATAGAGCATATACTTAATAACAGGAATGCAATTAACATTTATACTGTATTTTATGTGCTCAGGATAAGCACTAACTAACAAAAATGCAGTATATTACTGAACTCTGGGTGATCATGATAAGCACATAACTACGTAGTCTTAGGTGTAATTATGCTTTCTTAAACTCTGCTAATCTGCAATAAAATCTCATTTTAAATTCAGTGTGGAATTAGGTCTACTAATTTTATTGTCTTTTATAAGTCACAGTTGGGGCCTAAGCTAGCATAGATTTTACACTGTTTTCATTTAATTGACCACAGTGGTGTTGATATGTGACATATGGTAAGAGAAGCAAT